AAGTTGCCCAGGCTAAGTTTGTACTTGAGATCCATCTATATCACCCTCCCAGAGTGCTAGGATTACAGGCATGCACCACAATACTCAGCTGATTTTTTTTCTCACTTTTAACTGTACTGTGAGAAATTAGCGTGATCTCTATTCTCCCAGCTTAATTTTTCTCCTACAACTATTTGATGATGTAATGCTTTTAGGCAGTTCTCTTGGTTTTCCTTGTCTTAAAATGGTTTCCATTTATTATCTTTTTTAAAAATTGAATTTGTTGGTACATTCTAGGTAGACAGTACAGTTACATTCATTACTGGGATCTTGTACCTTTACATGACAGGTCTTGGTTCTCATCCATTTATTATCTTTTTAAATGAAAATATTCTTAAGGAATTGTGAATTACATTTAGCATGAATATACTAATGAATATGTGAAGCTACTGAGGATTATTTCATACTTTAAAAAACTTTCAATGTGTCTACTTTTAATTTTAATTTAAGAATTTACATTTATTTTCCCCCAATTATGGAAACATTTAATTATACAATCTATTTCTTAAATATTAACTTATACATGCTACATACAATAGATATTTTATACACATATAATGGATCAAATTCAGGGTTTTTGACTCAAATTGTACTGATTTTAGCGAATGATCCCAATACACCATGGGAACAAATATAATCAAATTGGCACCTGGCTTCTGTGCTCTTCTCAGGCGCTCAGTAAACTGCTGATTCTGCAAGGGCTTTAGTTCACGGACTTCATGTCTCACTGCCCTAACCAGTGGAGACAGAATCAGCACTCGTTTAATCGTCTGTGTGCTGCCGAGAGGGGTTTGTTGAGGGTAAGAGTCCGAAGGCAGAGATTAAGGAGTCCTCATCTTCCTAATGTGCTGGGCATCCAGGATTAGAGCTCTGGGCCAGAGAAATCCACCTGAATGCAGACCTAAGCACCACTGCACTCCTCCCTTAGGATTGCTAGACATGCTCTGCCCTTCAAACCTACATCCCACTCTGCCCCTTAACTCAAGAGCATTTCATCTCTTGTAGCCAAGTGACCTACTTCGTAGTTTGTCTGCATGTATCTGAAATGGAAGACAATATCCTGAAAATGTGAAAGTTAATATTTAAAGACCCCTCTGCTTGCTCATGTGATTTTGCACCTCCAAAATGACAGTTTGAGAGCAACATGGATATGGAGCTTGAAGTATCTATCTAGTTGGTAGGAGGAAAGAGGGGGCTGACCTCAGGACATTTTCTTCGCTTTAAAATACCATTTAGTTTGGGGCAGTGAAACTATTCTGTATGATACAACAATGGTGGATACATGCTATTCTATTTTTGTCAAAACCTATGTAATGTGCAGAAGAGTGAGCCCTAGGATAAACTAGCACTTTGAATGATAAGGATGTGTCCCTGGAGGCTCATGGCTTGTAGCAAGTGTACCATCTGGTGCCAGATACTGAGAGTGTGGGAGGCTGTGCATGAAAAAGGGTGCATGAAAATTCTGTACTGTCTGCTTAATTTTGCTGTGAACCTAAAATTGCTCTAGAATAAAAGTCTTAGTTTAATATATATGAATAATTTGGTACAAGCAAATGAAAACAGAAATAACATGAAAGAAGGCAATGCTTTTTTAAAAGAAAACTTGGGAACCAGTATATATGACAATGACAAATAAACAAGTACTTGTTCACAAATTTGAAGATGCCGAGTGGAGCTCACAACGGTGACATTCGGGAATGGCTGATACCAGGGACTCACTGTGCTCCCCAGGGACTTCTGTGGTGTAGGAATATTTCCAGAGACATTGGGAATAGTTCGTCATTTAGGTAAAAAATTGATGAGCTGATTAAGAAACAATAAACTACCACGTTGGACAGATAATGGAATTGTATAGGTTGAGTTCAATCCTTGCGGCACTGTAAAAAGAACGGAAAACAGACCTGGGTGCTATGGAGTCCAGAACAGATACAGAGAGCTAGGTTGTCACTCAGTGGTATAGTACTTGTCTGACATGCCAGAAGGCCTAGGTTTGATCGCCAGCCCCCAAAATAAACAATAGAGCCAGATATGGTGCTAAAGATAGTCTTAATGGTACGGTAGATAATACTTGTCTTTGATTTCCTTGCCCATTGGCCTGATAGTGTTAAGTTCTTCATTTGCTTCACTAAACTTGTGATTAGTAGTCAAAAAAGGGCTGTTGGAGCCAATGAACCCTACAGAGCTTTGCAGAAATATGCCCATGGCTGACAAACCTGGTACTTCAGAAGAAAGCAATTTGTGATCGTCTATTGGAAAAACTGTAGAAGAGGACCATGCTGCCTTAACAGCACACAACACTGTTGCTGCTCTACCTTACATCTCCCTGCCCCTCTTCTGAGTTCAAGAGCAGTCACGGAGGTCATGTACCATCTCAGGCCCTGTATCTCTCTGCATCTCAGTCTGGAGATGTTCTTCCAAACCACAGGAGTTTGCTGGGTAAGGCTAAGGCATAACCCAGATGTGACAGAGAATCATGCTCTCGACCAAGGGCCTTAAGAAATCAATGGATTCATGGCCATTTTTCGTTCTTACTTGGGATAACTTTGAGGTGTGAACCACAAAATTTCTCAGAGGGTTTTCAGAAAGATTGAAGCCCACCACTCACTGGCCTTTTTCTCTTGATCTTATTTCCGCACTCATGTGGGCTTCCTCCCAAACACACTACCTGCGCTTAAGTCTGTGTCTGAAGACCTGCTTTGGGGATCCCACAGTAAGACACTTCCTCTGGGTTTGGTGATTCATCCCCAGGACATTTCCCAGGGGTGACGGGCTGAGGAAGAGACACTGCCAGCCTCTAAGAAATTCTTGCTCCTCCCTCTTGCTTTGGTTTTTTTCTTCCTCTGTCCCTCTGATTTGTCTCTGGTACCACATCAAATGCAAACTGGACATTACATTTTAAACAACTGTTAAGGAATAATGGATACAAAGAGAACTACATATACTTATTGTGTACAATTTGATGTATACACTAGTGAAACTATCACTACAATCAAGGTGATAGAAATGTCCAATGCTTCCCAGTTTCCTTGTGTTCTTTTCCTTTTGTTCCTTTTCTTTTTCTTTTTTTTCTTTGTGTGTGTGTGTGTGTGTGTGTGTGTGTGTGTGTGGTGATCTACCCTCAACAAATTTTGAAGCACAGAATGGGTAAACCTTGTGGATGTTATGCTAAGTGAAATAAACCAGTCACAACAAGACAACTACCCCATGATTTAACTTCCAAGAAGGGTCTAAAATAGTCACTCATAAAGCAAAGAAGATAATAGCGGTCAGTCGTGGGGAAAATAGAGAGTTGTTCAGGTGGGTATAAAGTTTCAGTAGGTTAGGTGAATAAATCCTAGATATCTACTATACAACGTTGTACCTGTAGCACTTCATTTTATAACTTTAAAAATTCTATCTCATGTATGGGTTCGTTCAAACTTCTACTAGAGATCACAGATTCATGACAAAAAAAAATCAAAGATCAACTTTTTTTCAAAACGAAATACTAAGGTGTACTCCACATTCTATTGCTGTGCAGTGGTCTAAGAGGAAGAAGGTGACTAGACTTCAGGCCACAAGGCAGTTCCTTGGCCAGTTGCAAGCCTCATCTGACACAGCTGGCATTCTTTTGGTCCCTCACTGTGGTTTGCAAGCAACAGGCAGACATTTTTATTCTGACTGTGCTATACCTAAACTTTCTGAGGCACTCTCAGATGGAGAGGAAATGATACTGATCTTACACGATGGAAATAAATGGACAAAAAGATCTTTAAAAAAAAATAAATGACCAGGCGTGGTGGCGCATGCCTGTAATCCCAGCACTCAGGAGGCTGAGGCAGGAGGATCGCTGTGAGTTCAAGACCAGCCTGAGCTACATAGTGAGTTCCAGGTCAGTCTCAACTACATAGTGAGACCCTGTCTCAAAAAAACAAAACAAAACAAAAAAGCTAGAGAAGGAAATGCATATTTAAATATTGTATTTTAATGAATTCAGTATTTTAAAAATTAAATAGACACACAAGAAAGAGTAAAAAAGGAAAAATCACTACAGTGAAAAATAGAATATTTACTTCCCAATTTCCTTTTTTTCACACATAGTTGTAGATATCCCACACTTTTATTAGCAATTGAAGATGCAGGAGACACTAAAAAGACCTATTTGATTAGTACTTTTTAATAATTAACCAGAAAATTATAAGGCAAATATTATGCCCTTAAGAATAGTCTTTTCTTCTGTTCCCTAGGTTCTGAGGATAAATTACATAAATATGTGTTTTGTAAATTTGGATATAATTTGGTCACTTGTTTTAATTAAATAGTCTCAAGCAGTCACCAACTGCCCTAATTAGATATATTTTTAGCCATTAAGAAGATTCACTCTCAGCCGGGCATGGTGGTGCATGCCTGTAATCCCAGCACTCAGGAGGCTGAGGCAGAAGGATCGCTGTGAGTTCGAGACCAGCCTGGGCTACATAGTGAGTTCCAGATCAGACTCAACTACATAGTGAGACCCTGTCTCAAAAAAAAAAATTCACTCTCCTCATATTCTATTTTAATCTTATCAACTGTATAGGAATATTTTTCCAAAGACTGAACATATGGAGAATTTATGTACTTGCACCTGTGGAAATATAAGGATCAAAATAAATTGTGAGGAAGGAAGTTGGCACTCTTGGAATCTTGCAAGGCTGGCTTCTTTTTACTATTGCATGTAGTGTGGAATGGTGTGACCTGCTAAGTATGACAAATTTGAAGGGCACATTTACAAGATGCTGAGTTCTACAGCTTTATCTGAGTGCTTCCTATGGAGGGTTATTTTACAATTCAAATTTTGGTGTAGCTGGTCTTCCCAAGTGTGAAAATACAAAAGATCTTCATTGAATTCAATGAAGAATTCAAATAGTTCACAAAAAGTAGGGTTATTTGTCAACGTACCTCTCTTGTTCTTTTTAGAACCCCATCAGAGACAAGGGATATCGATGACAAATCCAGTGATGACTGTGAACTCTTTATTGATGGCATCGGGGCAGCAGAGGATCCCACTGATTCCCTCACCGTTTGGACCACCATTTGTAGACAGGTATTTCTCTCTAACACTATAATCCAGTCAAAGGAGGAAGTGGATCATCATCTAACCCTAGTGTCCTTCTCATGCGATCCCAGTGAACTGCGGTGCAGTAATTCAAGTGAGGTCACTCTGCTAGCCTTACCTTCCTCACTTCTGCCTCCACTTCTCATTCAGCAGGTCACTAGCAGATACTTACAACGTGACAGGCATTGTGCAGGTGCAAACATGGATGTAGCGCTCTTCTAGGGTTGCCACAATAAAATGCCATGAGCTGAAAGGCTTAAATAACAGAAATTTATTTCTCCAGTTCCAAAGGATGAAAGTTGAAGATCAAAGTATCACCTGGTGGGCCCGTGGTGAGGCCTTTCTCCCTGAATTCTAGGCACACATCTTTTCACTGTGTCCTCTGCCTTCTTTCCTCTAGGTACAAATGCAAAGAGCTCTTTGCCCTCATTTAACCTTAATTGCCTCCCTAAAAGCCTTATCTCCAAATGTGATCACATTAAAATTTAAGGCTTCAATGTGTGAATTTAGGGGAAATGGTTAAGTCCATAACAATTGGGTACCCTAGATTTTCTGTGACAGAATAATTCTTTCTTTTTAAAATAAAATGAAATGTTTTGAAGCACAGTTTGGCAATAGTCTTTCTTCCTTTTTTAAAAAATATCTTTAACATTCTGAGAAGAAAATAAAACACATTATTTATTCTTGTTCACGGAGTGTGAACAATAAGTAAAGTTGGGCTTTTAAAGACACGAGGTTTGGTGCAATGCATAAACTATCCACCCAGCTAGTCCAGCTTGATCTCAGATGGCAAACCCAACCCAAGTATACCCATGGAATAAGAACAATTTGTGCTCTGAACAAAATGCTGGTCATGAAAAATCAGAGTACTTTTGATTTGCTTGGATTTTTCCCCCCAGACATCCCTAATAGTTTCCTGCCCTGTTTTCTCTGTTTTGTTACCAATTGGGTTGATCCTCCCTTAGTAGAGTCCTTCGTCCTAATCTTTCTCACTGTATTTCTACTTTAACCTAGAGACTGCTGGTCTTTTATACTTCAGTTTGGAAAGAGATGATAGAATCCTATATGGCAATTAAGAAAAACAAAACACCTGACTGCCTAAGCAATGGAAATTTGGTACAGCTGTATTCTCATTTTACCTATTTTATCTTTTCCCCCCTAGAGATGCTTTGCCTTCTGTTGCACCAACCAACCCAAGACACTTTTGTGTTCCTTCCCACTTTGGATCATCTGTTCTACCAAATGCAAATATGCCCAATATGCTGCCCAATCATGGCTACTCAGGTATGAGCAGTAGACATTTGGCTCTTGTCTGCAGAGCCATAGAGAACAGAACAGCTGCATTAAACTGGCCACGCTTTTACTGCAGAATTTGGAGGCACAACTGTGTAGTGATTTTATGCTTATGGTTTCTGTAGTTATTACCTAAATTCAAATCATGGTGCCACCCTGTGTAACCAAGTGTCAGTTACTTAATTCCTCTAAGCATCAATCTACTTATGAAAAAAAATGAAGAATTTACAGTCTGTCTTATCCTACACATGAAGAACAAATAAAGTTATGAAGAAAGGAAATTCGAGCACTAGGGAGGCTTAGGGTGGTTCACATAGCCTGGGGTGGGAAAGAGGCTAAATGTTACAACACTCACCTAGCATGCATGAGGCTGTGGGATTGAGCCTCAGTACTGCGGAAAGCAAAACAAAATGCAAAGCATATGGTGTCAGTGAGATCTTGGCTCTTATTCTGAGTGAAAAGTGAAGCTTTTCAAGAGTTTGTGTAAAGCAGTGAAATGGTCTGACAAAACTTACCGGATCATTCTGACTGCTGAGATGGGAATAAACATAATAGGATCAAAATTCAGGACATAAACTGATGGAAGCTAACGGGCTATTGGAATAGCCAAAAGATTGTGAGGGCTTGGGCAGGAAGCGGTATATTAGGAAGTGATTGGATTCTGTAATTATTTGATGGTAGGAATCAACAGGATTTTCTCAGTTTGGATGTAGGAGGTGAAAGACAGGTATCCAGAATGACATCAAAACTGTTGGTTGTATTAATGGGAAAGGTGAAATTGCTATCCAGGGAGTGAGAATATGTGAGAGGAACAGAGTCCTTGAGGAGGGAGGCTCAGCTTTCTTATACTACATTTGAAACTCCTAACAGACATCTATGTGGAGGTGTCAGGAAGGCAGCTGAAGCAAAAAGGTCCTGGACGGGAGCCCCATTTGGTAACAAGACGCCGACAATCTGTAGCCCACCATTTTGAGCATTAGGTCAGAAGACTAGCACAACAGTTGCATTACTGACTTAGAGAATCACTCATAGCGAAATAGAAAAGGGAAATGGCCAATATTTGGATATACAAGCAGACAAGTTGCCCATCTCTCCGGGGGACATGTAGGTGAAATCTCCTACCTCAGGGGAGAGGTGTAAGAGTTAGCAAAAGCAAATGAGGCCTCAGCCCTACAGAAACTGAACTGCAAGTTGTCAAAATGGAAACTAACCAAGAACTTATCTCAAAACTTGGGATGCTACGTAGGAAGTGGATTAATACATTTGAACTAGCATTAAAATTGATGTTGCCTACGTGGGAAAGAGAAAAAATTTGAAATAGGCTTGGTGAGTCCTAGATTTTAGGACCCTCTGGAAATGAGGATTGTGCCCTCCAGCCTGGACTTTCCACTTGGGCTTTCTCTGCATTAATGGGCAGTATGCCATGGGTTTGAAGTTTTATGCATTCTAGCTGTCTAAAGAGACTATTGTGAGGCCAACAAACTAAAAACAAAAACCTAGCTAGAGCTTTAGAGTTAGAGTAGTCCTAGAGATCACCTTATTTCACAAATAGCAGAGAACTTCATTTCTTAAAAGATTTCAAGGTAGTCTTTTGGTAGGAGTTTAATAAGTTCAGTTAGGTCAGTATGAAGTAAATATAAGAAATAGGTTTTGTCCTCAACATTTTACTTTATTATCAGGAACAACAGATTTGCACGTGTAAAACTGTTGTTGAACAAAACCAATACACTTTCTGTATATATCACTATTATGGTCTGTTGACAAATAAAAGAAAGCAAAGGCTTAGAAAACTTTACAACAATTTGACAGGATAACTTTAGGTCTATCCATGTAATAATTTTTCAATTGTTTGGGTTCCTATTTTTATTTTAATTTCCTGGAAATTAGTTTTGTTGCATTTTTATAAAGTATTGGTCCATAAAAATAGGTTAGAAATGTAAAATGAAAAAACATTTTTAAAAATCAAGCTAAATACAGTGGTGCAAACATCCCAGCACTCAAGAAGTTGAGGTAGAAGGATTGTCATGAGTTTGAGGCCAACATGGACTACATTGCAAGATCCTGTCCCAAAAAAGAAAGAAAGAAAAAAAAAAGAATGAAAGAACAAATGAATTCAAAACTGGTCATTTTCCATAGATAGTTTGAAAGGACCAGGACAGACTGTAAGTACATTAGGAGTCCACAGCAAGGGGAAATCAGTAAACCACGAAGTTACTAGGAAAAAGAGTTTCAAAATCTATAATTCTGCTGTTGTTACTTGAAGATACTTTGGAAGGCTGATATGAAAAAGGATGTAAGTGCTTCCCAATTCCATTCAAATCATTCCAGAAAACATGTTTGTTTTCAAATGCATGCTTTTAATTTGTTTGTGAGGTGGGATGGTGGCTTTCTCTTTTAAGGTTGGGGCATTTTACCATCTGAATCGATAAAGGCAGTGACCAGAAGGAATGAAATGATTCACAGGCACCATACTGCCAGGTAACAATGTGTTTTATATATTTTCTATTTAATCTCTGTTTATTTCTTTTATATATAAAACAAATGAATGTACATATGTAACAAGTGAATACAAACACATAGTTATACCCACCATGATTACTTACAGAAATTATTTCAAGCAGATACAAAAAGAAATATACAAACATCTACACAGATTGGCTAATGAAAAAAGTAAGATTAAAAAACCACATAGTGAAGCTAATAGTGGTATTAGGCTACAGATTCAAATAGTTCACCAATGTCCCATAATTAAAATGTCCAACTGTGATTCCTCTGAAAATCATATTGGCATTTCTGTCTTAAATTTAAGACTGCAGGCGGGGCGTGGTAGCGCACGTGGTAGCGCACGCCTGTAATCCCAGCACTTGGGGGGCTGAGGCAGGAGGATCGCTGTGAGTTCGAGACCAGCCTGGGCTACATAGTGAGTTCCAGGTCAGTCTCAACTACATAGTGAGACAACTGTCTCAAAAAACAAAAAACAAAACAAAACAAAAATTTTAAGCCTTCAGTTCTGTCAAAGACAGGAGCCAAGCTTTCCAGTCCCACTTCAAACTACATTGTTAGAGTGCAAACAACATAACATCAGCCAAGACTGGCCTTCATCTGTAGCAAGCAGGAGAAAGAAAGGTCCAGCGATAATGACTGGGATATGGCCCCACAGTGAAAGAAGGAATAGTCAAGTTTCTTATGACTGAACCCTAAGAAATCCATTATTATGACCATTAAAATAAAGTGAAGTAAGCCAAAACACAGGCAAATCTTCCCTTTCCCACCTCCTTGGCCACTCACACTGACTTACAACCACTGAGACTTGCACTGACTAGTTGTTTCTCAAGTCATGCTAGGACTGCCTTCAAAGGGTTTCGGAACTTCTTCCTAGTCCTTTAGTCTTTTGAAGGTTAATCTCGACACTGCACCACCAGCACCCCTGCTAAATGTGCACCATGTATTTATTAGAAGTCACTTTCTAAAGACTTGGATTTCCATTATGAGATTCAGCCAAGCCCTTCACTTTTGGAAACTTTCTCCAAAGTTTCCTTCCCGCTGGCTTTGTGGAGAATTCCTGTTTCTACCATACGAACTTCAGATAATAGTGTGAGCACAGGAAAAGTAGAGGTGCTATCTTAGGAAAGGCAATAAAATTATATTTCTAATGGTTTCCTCTCCTTTTCTGTGGTTATGTACATATTGTTTTATTTTTAGATCAGAACTGGAGATGTACGCTGTTTATCAGCAAAGAAGAATGGAAAAAGTGACTACCAAGGGACTAACTGGCCTAGGGGTACCATTTCTACACAGTTCCAGCTTTCCGGCTGGCCCAGCCACTTACCATGGCAGGAGCAAGCTCCCTGCCTGCAACCTGCACTTTCAAAGAAGTGCCGTTCTCTTGGCAACCAGACCACATGTTCTACAGAGGTGGGGGCAGAAATATCAACCCAAGAGAAGCACAAGGAATCAGAAACCTCTAGACAGTGATATTGAGAGTTCCAAAAGGCAAGAAGAAGAAAACACCCTAGGCCAGATGCCTGCAATTCCCTATGAAGAAGATGACTATGCAAAACACCCGAAGTTTGGAGTATGCCACAATCAGGAGTCGAGTGAAACCAAGGAAAAGCTAACACCTCGCATCCAGCCGGCAGTGCTCCAGCCCAGCCGGAAGAAACCCTGCAGAGTTCACACCACTTCCCTGGAGGCAAAGCCATGGGACTGTGGGAAGGAGAAGCCTGCAGAGCAGGAATCTGAAGACTGTGGCAAAGAGAACGGAGTTTGCGCTTCAGTTCCTCCACCTTGTCTGCCAGGTGAGTGTCCCAGAGGCAACGGAAGATCCCCGCCAACCGCAGGTTGTCAAGTCCTTGCCTTATTACACAGAAGGCTGCAAGTGTCAAGCCTCGCCTTACCATTGTGTTTGTTTATCCTATTTAGAGTGAATTCTCGAAGTCACGTTATTATATCAGCTCTAATGAGCTATGTTACTGACACTAGTCTATTTTTGCTAAATAGAGAACTTTTGGCAAAGGCTGAGACGGTAAGTGTGGGCAAGTATGAGCAAAATCTACCAGAATTTAAATTAAATTCTTAATTTAATTTACTGTTAATTTTTCAACACAAAACAAAGGGGCTTTTGCTTAAAAGTATGCATTCTACCTCCCTGTATAGGCATAGAAAAAAATAGCCACTGAAACAGAGGCTTTACTTTTCAGGGTCTATTATTACTGTGGTACCATATAATGTAAAAGTATTATCTCACTACTGCCCAACAACACACACTGAATATTCTCTGAGGGCTTATTAAGGAGGAAAAAAGCTGGCATTCAGGCATGGTGGCACACACCTGTAATCCCAGTACTCAGGAGGCTGACATGCAAAGATCACCATGAGTTCGAAGCCAGCCAGCCTGGGCTTCATAGGGAGTTCAAGGCCAGTCTGAACTACATTTGAGACCCTGTCTCAAAAAACTAAAAGCTAAACAAATAAACAAAAACAAACTGGGGGAAGTGTTTAATCTAGACACCATACCAACTGCTTCCCTACAAAGTGTTAGCTTGCTATTCTGATGAAGGTGCAGCTAAACTCTTACCGCACCTAGAGAACATGGTAGGCACAGACTGTCACAGAACATAATAGCATCATGAGATCCACAGGGCCTTTCTCTTGAAATCTGAGGAAAGACGCAACAAATCTGGAATTCTCTCTCTCTGTTACAATAATACTGTCATTGGGGCTGGGGATTTAGCTCAGTGGTTCCACTGCCTGCCTCACAAGCACAAGGACCCAAGTTTGATCCCCGGTAACAAAAAAAAAAAGTTTGTCAATAATACTGTCATTGAGGTTCCTTTCAGAAGAGGAAAAGAAATGCAATGGCTAAACTTTTAGGGAAAAAAAATCTCCCAGTGACTCTGAGTACCTTTCAGGGAAATTACAAATGCTCATGCATGGAAAGACACTCTGTGATGGCAGGACCGGAGAACCTTTATATCATCATACATGAACCTGTGCTCTAAGCACCCACCTCTTCTGGAAATTTTATTCCACAGAATAATTGCCTTTCCATTTTACAGGGACACATGCCCTCCCTCCACCTGAGGAGAGCCCTCCTTTGGACGCAGATATTAAGAAATGGACCGTGGATGATGTACATGACTTCATCAGAAGCCTTCCAGGATGTTCAGAATATGCCCAAGTAAGTTAATATATAAATATTTTCATAAAATTAAAACAGGTTAAAATGTATTTCTTGCATAATGAGTTTTTTTTTCAGATGTATACTTTATCCAGGGAGAATTCCTAATAATCTCCCCTCTTCGTGTCATTATCTTGCTCAAGACAGGTGCCTCTGAGTGGTGGACAAGGGCCACCTACCTGCCATCAAGCGAGGCTGGGAACATCACTATCAAGCTTTAGTTTCTGTCCCATCGACACTCCTGAGAAATGGGAATTTTTCCAAAATTAGAAGGGTTAGAGGCCAAAAAGCTAACGAATGAGAAATGCTTGTTACATTCCCTAGTCATACACGTAACAAACATATTTGAAGCACATGCTTTGGTATCAAAGGTTTTAGACTATTCACCCTAAATAACAGGAATATTATACTTCCTTCTAAAGAATATAAGGAGGGAGGAGAACTAGAAAGAAAGAAAACTATTATTATTGTTTTATTTCATGCTATTTTACTCTATTTTTTGCTGTGCTAGAGATTGAACTCAGGGTTTTATGCATACTAGGCAAGTGCTCTATCACTGAGTGCCAGCCCCAACTCCTTAACTATTTTTAAATTATAGATTTGTGCTAGACTGATATATAAAAATGCACACACACACACACACACACATCATTCAATTTGGTATATAAATATTTCTGAAAATTATTGTTTTAAAACTGTCAAGACAGATGGAAAGGAAACCAGCCCCAATTATATGGAAAAACTGGTGAAAATCATACATTGTAGTTTTTGAAGTTTATGTCAATGCTACATTTTTATATAGTTTATTTTTAAGTAACTTAATAACAATTTTAAGCAACAAAGTGCCTACTAAATCTTTGGTTTACATATCAAAGGAAAAGAAAGCAAGAAAAGGATTTAATGGTTTAATTGGTTTTTTTTTTTTTTTTTTTTTTTTTTTTTTT